TAATAATCTTGAACTTTGATAGCAATACTGGCTGCTGGGTCAATGAATGCCAACTGCTTTCTTTAAGGGAAACGGATTTTACTATAAATACAATTAGCATAATGTGTGATTATTATTTAACTTATTACATGACGGTCCATTTGCTTTCTCAAAAAATGGAAAATTGCTGTTTTCAGTCTACATTAAATTAATGAATTCTCGGCTGATATCAGAAATGAATCAATCTTTCAGTTTTACTTAAAATCAGTTAAACACCTTGGCAATCTAGAGATTAAATCTATAATGATCACACCTACACACACACGTTGACTGAATACGTATTAACGGATCAATATACCTAATAAATTTACTATTAATAACATAGTTTGTTTTTGTTTTTTGTTTTTTTCGATAGCCACCTCCCAACACTCTATATTTTGAATACAACATTATAGGTTTGGTTTGGTTTGGTTTGGTTTGGTTTGGTTTGGTTTGATTTAAGGCCTATCAAAATCAATGGGTTATTTAAAACAATAATTTAATGCAGTCAAACTTTTGTTATTCGTAATATTTAATTTAAAATGTATTGCTGGTAATAATTTTTAAAATATTTGCCCACTGAATGTATGCGTAATTGTTCATATATATAGGTTGACCGTATATCTTCATTTAGATCATTTCTACATCTATATATATATATATATATCTTTCTCTCTCCCTCTCTCTCTCTCTATATATATATATTAAGAAATGGAGAAAGTCCGACAATTTATTTATTAAAGACATTTTTTTTTATGTTTAACGTTCTTTTTTTTTTATAGATACAAGTATTTAAGTAAATGCTCTGTTTATAATAAACAGTATTAAATAACATTTACCGGCGTGAATGTCCGAGAAATTTTCATAGAAAATATTCGTTCTTTGACAGGATTCGAACCTGCATCCTATACGGAACCGTCATTTACGCTGACGTGCCTTACCGATCGGCCACAGTTATGAATGTACGAGATTCATGGAAGATTGAAGTAAATTCGACCTCGTCTACCGAACGCTTCTTTGTGGCCGATCAAATCCATGGTCATTGATGACTGGCGAAGGCCTATCCAGATTAGCCGAAACCGCTCGGATCGACAATGTACAGAAAAGAAATTACTTGTACGAATGCAAGTATATGGGTTCACCTCCAAGAACACCATTTTGGCAAAGGACATCTCTTATCTAGCTCTAACATGTCAGTGGGAATTTGGTTACCTTCAATGCTTCAAAAATCAAACTAGTAACATTTCATCATCGCCGATCGGATCCTGAACGATCACCAGCCACGATGAATGAACGTTACCTCAGGGATACCCCATGACTTGAACGCCTATTGGTCCTCGAAATCCGCTCATAACTCAAGTGGAACGCATACATGCGATCCATCGCTAAAGATGCCGGGAAAATAGTCTGTTCTTTCTACATGTGTTTGTACCTGACTCCTTGTATTATCCGCTACCTTTTCAATAGCCAGACTTAGAATGGATTACTGCTGTCATATCTGAGCAGGAGCTGACCAATTCTCACTTTCCTGTCTCGATAGAGTCCAAAGGCGCTTCCGCGTCCCTGTGGCTGACAAATTGCTTTTTCACTCTGTAATGCGTCTTACTGCTCTATCTTGCTAATATGAACTCCTTAGTTCCAGCAGTTGTAACCTTCACAACTAAGAGTCGCTATACTATGTGCATTGTAGCTAATCCCCCGGATAAGCTTTTTTTGTGCGGTTGATAAAAGACGAAAGAAAACCACCGAGTTGGCTCCTATTGTAATTTATTCCGAGTACTTTCGACATAGCATAATGTCATCATCAGGGTATTGTTAAATATAGAGTAAGTATTTAGTGTTCAAAGTTATGAAGGACAAAAATTGTTGTAGTCATCAAAAGATTATCATTTTTTCTATGTGAAGTTACGAACGCTGTGTTATCGCTGGTTGACAGACACCGTTTAAGGGGGGTGGTAACATTGTTTGCTGTAGGAAAGTTCCGGGCTTGAGTAGTTACTACATAAAGGAAAAACTATTAATGAGAAGCACTAACATTTAAAGAGTATCTGTTGTACATATTTTAAAATGTGAGCTGATTATTCGCAATTAATTTTATTGAGGTTTGGTTTCATTTTTTTTTATATAAATAACTTCGAGAATTTTTAGTTTGTGTTCATTCTTTTCGAGGAAATGTATGGAGGTATTTTCGACGAGGATTTTTCTGAATTGCGAGTGTAGACAGTTATGCATTTGTAAATGTTTAGAAATATTGGAAATATTATTCAGGTGAAGACAGCCTATGTGAAAGCTTGTTGTGTGTCCAACGTAGACATTATATATATATATATATATATATATATATATATATATATATATATGATGTCAACAGAGGTATCTACATAACATAGTAACTCTCTGTTTCCCGCCTCAGACGATATTCAGACCATGTGTCACTACGTTTTTCGCAGGCTATACATATATCATTCACTCGATTATATTTATAGTCCCTACCTGTATTTGTCTTATTTTACCCTTTTGTTGTTTGAAATTTATTATCATTCCTACACACACAAAACATATATACACACACAGATAATATATATATATATATATATATATATATATATATATATATATATATATATATATATATATAGAAAATATTATTCAGGTGAAGACAGCCTACGTGAAAGCTTGTTGTCGTGTGTCCAACGTAGACATTATATATATATATATATATATATATATATATATATATATATATATAATTTTCATGTTCATTTTTATATAATGCTCTGTTTTAAATACAATGTAAAATCTCTTCACTACACATGCAGATAACATTTATATTTTATTTATTTACACATGACCAGCTTGTTTAACGTTTATCAATTTTAAAAATTTGTGCCTGCTTATTTTGAACTACCCAAGATCTATTACTGAGCCTCAGCGTACCATTAATTCGAAATAAGTTTATTTCTTTCGCTTATTAAATTATTAGCTTTTTTAAATTATATGAATTACTTTTCCTCCACGCTCCGATATCTATCTGAACGCCTGTTTGGTCACTAAGGAGTGATTCTGTGTTCGTGGTATGTGCACGTATTTATTTGACGTGCAATGTCGCTGTTAATGTCGAGCGAGTTCTGAAACTGAAAAATAAATAAAGAAAACCGTCACTCCAGCTAATACACAAACTCGTTTTTTTTTTTTTTTTTTTTTTTGTTGTTTTTTTGTCAGTACATCATAATTATACAGTTGGTATCCAGCGGCTGGTCTACCCATGTTTAATGGGGGAACTTCTGATCTTTTCCTACGCAGTTCGTCAACTTGACCCGATTCTCCTTACCCTTCGCCTCGCCATGCAGCTATGGCGGAGAATTAATGATGGCCGCAGGTGCATTCTCTATCTTTTGCAGACAAAGTCTCGGTCCAATGACGACACAATTCAATCAACCAGAATTTCAATTGACGGCATCATATTATCTATCCAAGTACTTACTTGACAATCAGTGCTTGTTCAGTGGGTGGTTTATTTTCTGTCTTTTATAGTTCTCAGTGAAAAGAAGAGACCAACATCATAATTACATATTGTAGATACAAAAAAAAAAAAAAAAATACAAACAAACAAGTACACACATAAATATCTAGGATGTGTATCAGCAGAGGACGGAAAATGCGATACCTAAATCCGAGAGAGTATTGGGATAGTGAAAGTTGCCTTCCAAAAGCTAAGCAAAGCATGAAGAAACAAGGAAATCTAGTTATAAACAAAGAAAAGAGTACTTAACTGTTTTTTTTTTAAAATATATTCCTCCAGTGAATCCTGGAAATTTCTTCACTGATGAAAAGAGGCTAGAGGCAATAAAAATGTGCTTCTTTTCAGGTTCTCTTTTTTATATAATGCTCTGTTTTAAATACTATGTAAAATCTCTATTTATTTACACATGACCAGCTTGTTTACCGTTTATCAATTTTAAAAATTCGTACCTGCTTATTTTGAAATACCCAAGATCTATTGCTCAATCTCAGCGTACCATTTATTCGAAATAAGTTTATTTCTTTCGCTGAGAATGCCACAGACTGAACATGCGAGCAACGACGAAGTTTATAGAGAAAACTGAAACAGAAACGAAACTTTAAAATGAAATTTCAACTATTTAAGTTATGTGCATCCGAATTGCAAGCAAGATCTCTCAAAGGTTTTTTCAGCATCAGATTATTTTTTATTATGCTATTTTTCTTAAAAAAAATAACTTGCTAGTTATTTAGCGAATATATAACAAATTATATATTCCTTTAGTCCCCCTGGATATTGATTACTTACCGTATTGTTAATAAAGTCGAAGCTTTTATGAGTTACGGAATGTTAGGACCGAGAGCAATCTGGAATTTCTGCAATGCCTGTGAGCTTTTTCTTACTCTGTTCTTAATAAATCGACAATTTGGTAAACAAAAGAGTCATTATATTTTATATCTGAGGTAAATTTAAATATCTAGTTGATATGCACTTAACTTTTTAAAAAAAGTTGCATTTCTAATGACACATCATGAGAAAAGAGGCGTTAGAAAATTTAACTAGACAGGTTGAAGACAAGAGGTCATAGTCAGGAGGTCAGCGAATAAATTAGCTAAAAAGCTTGGTTAGCAGAACGGTTATGAGGAGAGATATCAAAAAGTTTTGCAAAGTTTATTAAAATGTTGGGAATCATGATTGCCCATGTCTTGAAGAACTTGATTGGTTTTACGGCTTATCAATCTTTTAATTGATTGATTTTTACAGCTTATCGATCTTTTAAAGATTTATTTAAAGCAATAAAATATTTTTGAATAGTAAAAATTTTTTTTCGAAGATAACAATGATTTACAGATAAAATTCATAGTAACTAACCCATAGCTGGGGGAGATGAGGTGAATTCATACCTTCCCAAGTGTATTAGCGCGTAAGTGAATATAACGATTGCAAGCCGTTATACATTACACCATCTGCAGTTCCAAATTTGCAGCACCTGAAATTCTCAAGCGGTGCCCCATATAGTTACTGGCCAGGCTCGACGTTGCTTAATTTCGCTGATCGAGCGCGAACCGGTGTTTCAACATCATATGGCCGTAAGCCAAGATAATGATGATGAGGATTCTACTGTGCAACATATATTCAAGTGTATTTTGTATTAAGGTGTCTCCTTTCATTTTATCTACACGCCAAGTTTCTAAATTTGCTCCAGACATAAAATATAATGGCTCTTTTGTTTACCAAACTGACGATCTATTAAGAAAGAAGTAAGAAAAAGCTCACGGGCATTCCAAAAATTGTTGACAGTTGCTTCAGATTGCTCTCGGTTCTAACATTCCCTAACTCATAAAACCTTCGACTTTATTAACGATGCGGTAAGTAATCAATATCCCGAAGGACTAAAGCAATATATAATTTGTTATATATTCTCTAAATAACTAACGAGTTATTTTTTTTAAAGAAAATAGCATAATAAAACGAAGCTGATGCTGAAAAACATTCTACACATTTTGTTTGCAATTCGAATGAGTATCTATTCAAATTGCTAACCAGGAAAATCTGGTGAAGGAATCGGTTCAGTGGTCGATCACCTCCTCTATGATTTTAGTATTATTGGGTTATAAGCTACCAGTTGTAGCAAAGAGTTACCTAATATAAATGTACTACATACTAGACTAAATGATTTATCTTAATATGCTAATATCGGTCCGTTTACATTCTATGACCTACACTCGATTTGCCTCATTGATTTTGTTAAATTTTCTCCTGATTAAAATTTAACGCAAATCACAGCTGTCATATTCAGTCTCATAGACCAATGCTTGAAAAATGATTTCCATTCTCAATCACATCTTTTAATAGCAGACCAATTAATTCAACTTCGATGAATATTAAAACTGCTTTCAGAAACAAAGCATTAATTTGTTGCCATTAATTAGTTTTTAATCCAGATGGCTGTCTAGTCAGCCACCTCACCAGAAAAGCCAGAGAGTGAAATCGATTTATTCGCCCATGTCACAACCCTGTTGTTATTGTTAATGGGTTACCTGATTTTATTTAATAATTTCGCCACAAGCAAAGTGATAATGCCACTAAGAGGCAAGGAATTGCTGGGAGGGAGAGATAATAAAAAAGAGTAGGGAGGACAAAGCACAATAAATGACCAGGTTCAGTAGGCCAGAAAATGGCGATTGAGCTTGCATTTAAATCTTTCAAGATTGTCGGTGTTAGAGATGGTAGAAAATGGCAGAGAGTTCCATAAGTCCGAGAAAAGAAACTATTAGACTAGAGATTATCGTTAAATCTAGCTAATTCAACAATGAAGCATAGTTTCCAGTCTAAAGAATTAGCTTAAATTCACATGGCCAAGGTATCAAGGAGGAAAGCCTGCTAGAATAATCGCCATGAAAATACTCATGCAAAAGACAGAGAGAATTCACAACACGACGGTGGGAAATTAACTGAAGTTGAGGTGCCAGGTTAGTTCTTATTATATTACAGACCGTTCTTCAGATTTTAGAATCTCGATAGATATAGCAGCATCATCAGACTCAATATGGCAGCATTATTCAAAACACAGACGAATTGTACGTTTAGAAATGTGCAAAATGGATCTTGACGAACAAAAATTGCCCAGCACGATAGAGAAAACTAGCATTCCTAGCAACAGGCCTAATAATTTATTCAATATTTTTACTCCACTTCTAGTAAAGAGTAACTTAATATAAATATACTACAGGCCAGAATAAATTATATATTATCTTATATACTAATATCTGTTCGTTTACATTCTATAACCTACACTCGACTTGCTTCATTGATTTTTATTAAATTTTCTCCTGGTTCAAATTTAACGCAAATCACAGCGGTTTTATGCAATCTCATAAACCAATGCTTGAAAAATGATTTCCATTCTCAGTCACGTCTTTTAATGGCAGATCAATTAATTCAACTTCGATGAATATTAAAACTGCTTTCAGAAACAAAGCATTAAATGGTTGCCATTAATTAGTTTTTAATCAAAATGGTTGTCTAGTCAGCCACATCACCAGAAAACACAGAGAGTGGAATTGTTTTTGTCGCCGATGTCACGACTATTAATGGGTTACCTGATTTCTTTTAATAGTTGTGTTCCAAGCAAAGCGACGATGCCAATAAGCGCCAAGGGGTTGCTGGGAGGGAAAGATAATAAAAAGAGTATTGAGGACAAAGCACAATAAATGTACAGGTTCAGGAAGACAGAAGATGGCAATTTAGCAGCAGAGCTAATAATTTATTCAATATTATTACTCCACTTCCTGTACGTGGAAAATGTGAGGCAATAAGTTGCTGCCATTGAGGTTAGCATCAGTCATGGAAGGCAAGCAAGTTCTCTATGGTGATTAACATATAGCAGTTTCATTTTGGAAGCGTTCAGATTTACAAACCATTGTCCCAGTTAACATCTGATTTCATACCAGCAGCACTAAAATATCCTAATATGAAAAAAAAATCATAATAATTTCTCAGTTTCTGTTTTATTTATCAGCGATTTATTTTTAATTAGTTTGTTTTATTTTATTTTCAATTTTCATGAATATTCGAGAAGTAAATTCAGAATCAAGACACTGCCAATCGTTATTTAATGTCTTCTTGATTAATCTTCTTTTGTTCTCGCTCTTTAATAATGTTTCGCTTTCTTTATTCTTTACACTCAGAGACGCATTGGTGACTTTACTGCTTTGCATGGGTCGAGATGATTAAAAATTATCAGCATTTTGTATGTATATTTATCATACAGGGTGCGGAAGAAATCCCTCCTATATATACCAACCAGAAATATCACCCACATAATGGCAAGGCATTAGTGGCAATTGTGTCTTACCATTATGTGTGAGATATTTCTGAGAGGAATATGTGGGAGTTATTTCTGCCGCACGCTGTAGAGTAATTAAATTAATCAAATTTATTATGCAACAATTGTAGTATTGTAACGTTGGTGTAATGGAGAGAGGCTCAGTCTGAGGAACCGGAGAGCCGAGTTCGAATTCCAGTCGAATCTATCACATTCACTTATGTGCTAATACCCTTGGGAAAGGTATGAATCCTCTTCTTCTCCCTTCAGCTATGGGTAAATAGCAGGATAGAGCGTGTTCTGTAGCCTTAGATGGCAATTGGTCTACCACAGGAAGAAATTGCAGCTTATTACGGGAACAAAATCTGCCTCGTCAGTCATGTATCGAAAGATACGTGATCGCCTAAGCGTGTATCACGCCCGGCACAAAAGTGACTGATTATTTAGTCTATCAAAGAAAAATAGAAGACTGAGTTTGATCTTCTATTTCGCCTATGAAAGAAAATTCCTAATTTTAGCTTATTAAAATAAATTTATTTATTTTAGCTATTCATTGAATTCTACTCACAAAGAAAAAAGTATCCGGGAAGAGGTTAGATAAGACGTAATGCCTGAATAAATGGCTCAATTTGTTTTATTCTTTACACCTCAGACAAGGTAAAAAAAACCACTAACATATAAGGGGTTACTGAAGGTGAATGAATATGAGAAAAATATAATTAAGAAGCGAGAACTATAAAACAACGTATATTAAGAAGATAACGATTGGCATTTCATTTAAATTTTAGATCAAATTAGACTGGAAAACAAGAATCCGGAAGAGTGTTCCACAAGTGAGAAAAGAGACTGTTAGCATAGAACTTACACATATATTGAGCCATTTCTACTGTAAATATATAGAAATATGTGCTAAACACATAATCATCGTCATTTTTCGTCTTCTATGTGCCATGGTTCTTCAGGGCGTTGGCGATCATACGTCTCCACAACTTCCTATTTTTGTAACTCTGAATAAGGTTTGTTTATTTACTATCCATCCTAGTCCCTGTTCTGCCAAAGATCTACAAAAGATCGTTAGGCAGATTGTTTCCCTTTGCCTTCAATATGTCATGTGAATGTCAAACTCTATAGGCCTTCTTTCCTCACTGTGTACCCTAGACGCCAGAAATTTGATTTATCTCAAGACTTATTCTATGTAATTTTTTTGTCTAAATATTCCTCGTTGCTCCCAAGTTTAATCCATGGTATCCTTGGCATACTTCTGTAGAACCACATCTCTGTTGCCTTCAGCGATCTCTAAATTTATGACATTAATTTTTTAAGCATTTCACCCCAATTAAGGCGTGAGGGCTACTATCAGGCAATGGGTTACAGAAAGTGAGAGCAAACGTAAAGAGGGGTTTTTTTTTTAAAAAAAATGGTACCAAGAAGGACGGGGCCCAGATTCAAGGCATCAGAAGATTTCGATTGATATTACACTTGAATATTTGAAGATTATAGCTGTCATGGAAGCAAGCAGGGGGAGAGAGTTCCACTGTCGGGAAGTGCGAGAAAAGAAGCTCTTAAAATAGAAGAGGCGGTTAGGTCTAACTTATTTATTTATATTGAACTCACACTCTTTGGGTTCTGTCATTGTGCCATGTGTCCTCAAGGATACATGGCACAGTGAATAAAGGCTTTAGTTAGATCCATTGACAGGACCCAAAGAGCGTATGTTCAATACCCGCTTAAGGCAGTGGAAAACTTGGAGTGGGGAATTAACAGGAGATAACTGATAAATGACATCCATTAAATAAGGCACTTGGGACTAGAACAATGAGGAAAATAAAGACTCCATTTCGATATTTCAACCACCTGAAGAAGGTCGGAGCGTACAACGGTCGAAACGTTGTAATAAATATGGCGACAAAGATGAGGACAATAGAATAATTTAAATAATGTACATAAAACCTCATCTCAGAAATATAAACAGATACTGAATGATCAAACTGGTAAGAATTTTTTGAAAAATAGACAAAAAACGTAGGAAATTTAATTAGCAATGAAATTTTGTTTGTCTTCAATCACAACTGTTTGGATATACGCACACACACACACACACACACACACATACACACACACGTTGAAGCGGATATATACATGCATACACACATGCATATAGCTAGCTACCTAGCTACCTAGCTAAACAGATATATATATATATATATATATATATATATATATATATAGATAGATAGATAGATAGATAGATAGATAAAGAGAGAGG